TTTTTTTTTTTTTTTTTCTTAACTCTCTGCAAAGCTTTATTCCAGAGGGGCTCAGTCCTTCTTGGCAGCTGCCATCTTCATGGCGGCCAGCACATCGCTCAGCTCCTTACCCTTCCTCTTGGTTGTGGATGTGTGTCCCCACCCTTTTCTTGATGAACTTGAGGGTGCGTTTGTCCTTGGAGACCTTGAGCAGCTCCATGGTGGCATGCAGCTCAGAGAGGGTGAAGCTGCATACCTCCCAGACAATGTCCCGCATGAACTTGGTGTGTTTGGTGAGGCATCTATAATGGTGGCTGTGCCTGGGTTTGCTCACGTTCTTAGTCACCTTGTGGCCCTTGTTGAGGCCCACGACCATGAGATAGCAGAGGGCCATGGCTGTTTGGTTTTGTAGTTTGCCATAGCGGAGGTTCACAGCTGGGTTTGGATATGCCATTGCTTAGTATCCAGCAGGGGGAGCTTTTGGCTACTGATGGTAAGATTGTGATTAAAAGGCTCCTTATTCTCCACTCTGTCCCCTCCCTTTCTTCTTGCTCAACCTCTAGCCTTTCCTTTTTTCATGGTCCAGTAAACCTGTCTCAAGGGTGTATTTCAAATTGATTACAGACAATTTGCTCAGGATTTTGTGATGAATGCAGATGTCAGAACCTGCTCGTCATCTACTGCCATTGCGGACCTCCAGGAGGATGAGGATGGTGTTTATTTCAGCTCATATGGGCATTTTGGGATACATGAAGAAATGCTAAAGGTTAGACAAGAACACACATGCACCAAATCCATATGAAAGGAAAAATAGAGTAGAACTGGCTGTTTCTTAGTGTGTGAGAACTGCTGCTGCTTTTTTATGTTTTAGGCTCTTTTATATCTTTCGTACTAACTCATCTTGCAGTGAAAGATTACAGGAGCACCAAAGTTGTTAAAAATTCTATTTAAGATCAAAATTAATATTTATTAGGAAGTTCCTTTTTATTCAGGATAAAACATTGGAAAAAACAACTACTGATGGTTTTAGTCTACTTCTAAACCAACTGTTAAATTAAGAAGGAATAACTAAATTATATATGTGTTTTAAGTGTCATTACTGCCTTGGTTTGGGTGTAAAAGTTTTGGCACAAACTTTAAATCTCACATTTGTTATGGCATGACTTTTTTATACTTAAAATGATACATAGAAATGTTTTCTAAATTAGTCATTGGTTAATTATATCTGGTTGGTTTTAAATTTCATAATTATAATGTCCATGTAAAAGAGAAATTAATTTTTAGCTGTACTTGGTAATTACATACCTTATCAAATATTATACATAGAAAAGTAAAATTTATAGTTCAAAAAAATTGCAACTACATGAGTGTTAGATTGTAGGAATAAACAAAATTTTTAGATGTTTGTCTCTGAATTCTAGGTGTGTTTTCTTAAAGCCAGTCAGCAAAAATCCCTTTGTAGATCGTTCCTCCAAAGTTTATTTTATATAATGAAAGCCTTAGACTATGTTTCCTTGAAAAGGGCATTTTAAGTGACCAAGGCTATTTGAAAACTTGTGCTGAGTCATTATTACAGGATCACAGAGTGGAGGTTTGTTGATGGATAGTGACTGTAATTATGTGGGTTTTTAAAAGAAATGTGATGTTATTGCCAATGTTGTGTCAGCTGTGCTTTCTGTTTGTCACTTGGGTAGCAGCACAGCATTACAAATAACAGGTCGTGGTTTTTATTTTGAGACAGGATCCCACCATGTAGTGCAGGCTGGTGATGAACTCACGTATGTAGCCCAGGCTGGCCTCAAATTCACGGCAGTTCTCCTGCCTCAGCCTCCTGAGTGCAAGGATTGCAGGGATGTGCCATCAGGCCTCGTTTAATTTTTAAGTTGACTGAGTTTATTTAAAAGAAATAGAATTTTCTTTTTCAAATTAATTATATCTGATATATTTTTGTGAAAGGATTTAGTCTACATTCATGTTTCATTTTAAATCTCCCCCTTAATCTAAATGTCATGAAACTTGAATACTTTTGGTGTGGTGCTTGTGTTGGCTTTTCAGACAGAGCAGTGTCCGGGAGACACCCTCTGGCTCCTTTGTGACTCACGTTTGCCCTTTGTGGGTCTTACTGTTTCAGTAAAAATCCCTGGTGATAGTGAAGTAGGATGCTTCGAAAAGTGACCATTTTAAACTTAGTTAATATGCATGTATTTAAACATTAGATTCTCCTAGGCTTTTTTTTTTTAATTTGGTACTAGGGCTCAAACTCTGGACCCTGGGCTTGCCATGCCACTGAGCTATCTCCCCAGCACACTCTCCTAGTAATTCTTATAGTAACTTTTTAAAAGCTAAAAAGGAGATGTAATAGGCCTGATTTAGAAGATAATTTTTTTTTTTGTAAAGCAATTAGAAATAATAATGGGAAAGTCTGTAGTTATTTTCCCTGTTGGGTCTAATAAATAATTTACCTTTTAATTTAAGATCACCTTTAAATGTTTTTTAAAAATCTCAGCATTGGTCTATGAATGTTTTTGAGGTTTGTGGTTGTAATTTCAGTGTAGCATTGTACTACAGTTGAGGACACCAGAGATACACAGAGTCCATGTAGAAGGTGGTATCATGTTTGTGTCCCATGTGCATCCTGCCGTACACCTTAAATCATTTGGACATTACTTATCTGTTATAATTCCGTGTAAATACTTCATAAATAATTGTTATATTGTACTCTTTAGGAAATAATGACTCCGAGAAAATATGCATATTGATCACAGATGTGGTTTATAAACAAGATTTACCATCTGTTTGGCTGAATCCGCGAAATTGAGACCCCACAGATTCAGGGGTCCAGCTGTCTCTTGTGTTGCCTTTTCGCAAAGTCTCTGCTTTGTGACAGCTACTCTTGTGCTCAGTCGTGCTTACTTGGCAGCACAGCCCTTAACTGGCTGATTTGCACACACACACATCTGCTTGTGTCTCAGCCATGGGCATCAGCTTTGTTCATGAACAAAGTGAGTGAGAGGGTGTTGCCCGCCTGTCTTGGTCGCAGGTCATGTGAGACTTGAGAGCTAAGGGTCCTGGGGCTGACTGCAGCCTCCAGATGATTTACTTTTCGGCTGTAGGCTTTTACATATCATTTCCCACTACAAAAATGTCTAGAAACAGGATTGTAAATCAGGCAGATGCTGATGAGGACTGTCTTAGAAAAACATCTTCAGTGCGGATTCATGTTTCATGTGTGCCTGTAGCTTACACATTGATCGTTTTAATTTTTCCCCCCTTATTGTCACAGCTTTTGTGCAAGCCATCTTGTTCTTATGTTCCAGGTCTGATGTGAAGGAGCAAAGCCTTAATTAGCACTTGAAGTCATAAGGACAATGTATGTAAAAGAAAAATGCATACATTTTTAAAGAACACCAGCAGGTTTTACTCAACATTCAGTGTTTCTTTCAAAAAATAAATATTTTCTTTGTGTGTTACTTCTATCCTTCGTTTTCTTTTAGGAAAAAAAACTATAGGTTTGGTTTTCTAGGTAAAAAGTAACTTGTAGATTATACAGACTACAGTGTGTATAAACTAGCAAATAAACATCTACCTAAAAGTTTTAATTTGTTTAGACTATCTTGCAAACATGGTATTTTCTTCTCTTCACTCTAGGACAGAGTTCGAACAGAAAGCTACAGAGATTTCATATACCAAAACTCACACATCTTCAAAGACAAGGTGAGGAGTCAGGTTACGGGGTTGCACATCTCATGGTGTTCCTCGGTAGCCCAGGTCTTCTCTTTCCTCCCTGTTGTGGTAACAGTTGATTTAGTAGGCCCTGGCTTTATTGCGTGGGAGACTTTTACGATGCTGTGGTGCAGGACACTGATAACAGAAATGCTGACTGTTGCTCGTCTCTTTTAAATTGAAAGTCGTCAATTATAGTGACATGGTTTGAACTTTGCTTATTGAGATACTTTTGTCTAAACCATATTTCAGATTTATAGTAATCCTGTGAATTTCAAACATATCAGTTATATTCTGCAGCAAAGCACACCTTATTTTAGCTTGTATTAAGTAGCTAAATGAATTCTAAGGAGCTGATGAGTACAGTTATATATTGTAAGGCAGAGTGTATTTTATGTGCTTTTTATGCCCGGTTAATTTGCCCCTTTGAGAGATGTCTTGTGCTTTACAGTTAGTTTTAATACTGTTATTTTCAAAGATGACAGAATGCTCTGGGGACGTCTGTGTTCAAAATTTGTGTTGTAGGAGCTGTTTTCATTCTTCTTCCTTCGCCTTTCTGTTTCTCTTTCCCTGCCTCTATCTATTGGCATAGTTATTAACGTTTAGGTTTTGTGATTGTTCCTTCTTACTAGAAATTAATCCGAGTTAGACAAGAATTATGTTCTCTGCTGTTGTGTATGCTTCTGTGGAGCGTTCACCCCACTCTTCACTTGAAGAGCATATAGATTGAGGATGAGCCGGAATTTACTGTGCTTCTCCCGCCTCCATCGTAAGAGCTCTTTCCCGGGGTCATTGCATGGCTTTGCAGGCTGCTGCAGAAGTGAGGACAGTGCTTTGCTGGAGAGGTGCTTTTCCTCACTTTTGGACTTCTCAGGATGGGATCTAGATTGGCTTCTCATTTTTTGTACCTCTTTCCTAAGAACAGTGTTTCACTTGCAACTTTTCATCAGAGTATTTTAAATTGATAGCATGATATTCTCTTATGTGTGCAGTGGAGGTGAAGGGTTTTTTTGTTTGTTTGTTTGTTTTTGTTTTTTTTAAAGGTTTTTATAATCTTACCTTAATAAATTGGATAGAAAATAAGCTCTGGTCTGTCTGGGAATCACTAACTAATCTTGCTTGTTAGAAGCCAGCTGTAAACTTTGGGCAAGTGATGAGAGTGAATTTCTTTGGGCCTGTCTATAAAGATCGTAAAAAACCCTGCTTAGTCTAAAATGCTGTGTGGTAGTCTTGAGTAACAGATTAGATGCTGACAGTACATAGTATAACAGCCATTGTCAATTTCTTATTCTTCTTTTGAAATTTGGTACCATTTTTGTTCTATGTTGCTTTGTTTTTGTCTTTGTTCTTTTTTTCTCTTTAAAATAAAATAAAATGGTATGATTTTTCTTACTGTAAAGCACCTTCATTGTCTTTTTTGAGCCTGCTTCTCTTAATACTTTATGATACGAATATCAGGAAATTCAAGTTTTTTCTTCAGTGACTTATACTAGAGAAGAAAATACTGAAGCAGCTATTTCAGATATACTCTGAAACTGTACACGTTAATCATCAAGAAATTACTTGTGAATATTTCTATAAAGAGCAGTTCTTACTGTGCACCTAGACTGATGCAGAGTTACTTCGTTTCTAGTATCCTGCAGTAGCATTGTAAAGATGTTCTGTAGGTTGCACATTTTCAAGTTACCATAGAATATAGTGTATGATTATTTAGTTGTGCTCTGTATACTTCTATTATTCAGAAATGGAATCTGCCCAAGTCCAAAGGTTTTTTTAGTAAATTGAGAGTATCTTCCATTAGGTCTTTGCCTAAAAGGTTTACTTTTCTTTTTCAGCATGTAATGGATTTTGCTTGGCACCTGTGGTTTCTCAAAATACATTGTAATGTAAAAATTAAATAAAACA